TGCCCAGTTGCCCTAATGGTTAATCCGGCCCTGATCGGACTCCACACACACAATCTTTCAGACCCCTGCTGCGAGAACGGACCCAGATGAGATGGGATCCAGAAGTGTTGAGTCTAAAGTTCTGACAAAAAGTCACATTTATTGCAGACTTCTGTCTTTTGTACAGTAACACTCTATCAAATCCCTAAAACTAGCCTTTAGAACTGCAGCTTTGGTGAAATATCCATCCCAGAAGCCCTTGATTTGTAATTGCATGAGACATTCATACAGTCCAAACTGGGACCATGAAAGTCGGTAATATGGAGTGCTTGGTCATGAAGCAGCCATCGAGTGAAGGGTAGCAGCGATCTGTTCTTTAGTGTAAAAAGAAGAAGACCTTCAATCTTTAATATATCAGCCTCACTATGTCTAGAAACATGCACGTGTGCCACCCACACACACACACACGAATAATAACCTCAGACACATGTCACGACTGAGCTACTGGTTTACCTTCTGGAAAGCTTATCATTAAAGTATGAAGACAGACATACACTGAAAATAAACACACACACACTGTATTTATTTAACACAGTGGCTAAATTAAAAAGAAATAAAGGTTCTACTTCTGAAGTTTCCAAAGAACATAGCAGTTATGACTTTATGAACTTCTTTACTTACAAGATTGATAATATTAGAGATAAAATAATAACTATGCAACCGTCTACTACAGTATCGCATCAGGCAGTGCATTGTAGTGTCCCTGAGGAAAAATTCCATTCATTCATTCATTGCAATAGAAGAAGAATTGTCTTAACTCGTTAAATCATCTAAATCGACAACATGTATTTTAGACCCTATACCGACTAAGCTACTGAAAGAGGTCATAGATCCTCTTCTTAATATCATTAATTAATCTTTGTCACTAGGATATGTACCGAAAACTTTTTGGCAATTATTAAACCTCTTATTAAAAAAAAAACCCAAATTGATCCTAAAGAATTAGTCAATTACAGGCTGATCGCAAATATGCCCTTTTTGTCAAAGATACTAGAAAAGGCAATATCCTCACAACCATGTTCCTTTTTAGAAAGTAATGGAATCTGCGAGGGTTTCCAGTCAGGATTTACACCGTACCATAGTACTGAGACAGCTCTCATTAGAGTCACGAATGATTTGCTCGTATCATCCGATCGTGGTTGCATCTCTCTATTAGGGTTACTCGATCTTAGTGTTGCACTTGATAACATTGACCACAACATTCTTTTAAATGGACTCAAACATTATGTTGGCATTAGTGGAATTGCATTAGCATGGTTAAAATCATACGTATCTGACCGTTATCAGTTTGTAGCAGTAAATGAAGAGATGTCTTATCGATCACAAGTTCAGTATGGAGTACCACAAGGCTCAGTACTAGGTGTTCACCCTGTACATGCTACCCTTGGGAGATATCATTAGGAAGCATGGGATTAGTTTTCAGTGTTATGCCGATGATACTCAGCTCTATATCTCTTCGCGCCCCGATGAAACTTGCCAATTCAAAAATTAACGGAATGCATGGCTGATATAAAAATTTGGATGACTAGTAATTTCCTATTACTTAATTCTGAAAAAACAGAGTTTGGACCAAAAACCTCCGCAAGTACTAACCTAGAATACTGTCTAACAATTGATGGCTGCTCTGTCAAGTCTTCGTCGTCAGTTAGGAACCTGGGTGTGCTCTTTGATGCCAATCTTTCATTTGAAAGCTATGTATATAACATCTGTAAAATCGCATACTTCCATCTTAAAAATATCTCTACATTACGACATATGCTTTCAATGAAAAATGCGGAACAATTAGTTCATGCGTTCATGACCTCAAGGCTAGATTATTGTAATGCTCTTATGGGTGGTTGCCCTGCATGCATAATAAACAAACTAAAGCTGGTCCAAAATGCAGCAGTTAGAGTTCTTACTAGAACCAGGAAGTATGACCATATTAACCCAGTTATGTCAACCCTGCATTGGCTCCCTATTAAACATTGTATAAATTTAAAAAATATTGCTGATTACTTACAAAGCACTAAATGGTTTAGCTCCCCAGTACTTGAGCGAGCTCTTAACGCATTATAGTCCTTCACGCCTATGCCATCTCAAAATTCTGGCCAGTTGATAATACCTAGAATATCAAAATCGACTGCTGGCGGTAGATCCTTTTCCTATTTACCACCTAAACTCTGGAACAGTCTACCTAACATTGTCCGGGAAGCAGACACACTCTGTCAGTTTAAATCTAGACTAAAAACACATCTCTTTAACCTGGCATACACATAGAAAATTATACATTCATATTATTCAAATCAGTTAAATGATTATTAGGCTGCATAAATTAGGTCAGCCGGAACTGGGTACACTTCCTATAACACCAGATGTACTCGTTATATCATAAGAAGAATGGCATCTACGCTAATGTAAGCCTTTCTGCTTATTCCGAGGTTTACTGTAATCAGCTGGATCCGGGCCATATCCAGATCAGATTGAGGACCTGCGCCTAGACACGACTACAACGCATGATGTAGTCAGCCGGATCCGGGCCGTATCCAGATCAGATGGAGGACCTGCGCCTAGACACGACCAGAACGCATCCCTGAAGTGTCAGCAGAGGTTGTGTCAACTAGACTCTCCCCTGTGAAGGCCTTATCAACAACGACAGCCATTGGCACTGATCCTCAACAAACCTGTCCCCGGTGTGATGACTCTGATCTTCAACCAGATGGAACTGGATAATATTCTGATTGTTCCAATCCAATCTGACTTCTAACCTATAATGCTACCTGAATCATAATCATACACTGTTGGTTTGTTGGGCAGAGGAGAACTGGCCCCCTGACTGAGGCTGGTTTCTCCCAAGGTTTTTTTTTCACCATTCTGCCACCTGATGGAGTTTTGGTTCCTTGCCACTGTCACTTTTTTCGCCTTTGTCGCCTTTTTTCACCTTTGTTGCCATTGGCTTTTGGCTTGCTTAGTTGGGGACATTAAATTTAACATTTAATTTAATATTCAACAATAATATTGATCTGCCTGCATTGACAGCATTATATGAGAACTGAACTGAGCTGGATGATGACATCACAGTTTTCTCCAGAGTGGCTATATATATATATATATATATATATATATATATATATATATATATATACACTCACCTAAAGGATTATTAGGAACACCTGTTCAATTTCTCATTAATGCAATTATCTAATCAACCAATCACATGGCAGTTGCTTCAATGCATTTAGGGGTGTGGTCCTGGTCAAGACAATCTCCTGAACTCCAAACTGAATGTCAGAATGGGAAAGAAAGGTGATTTAAGCAATTTTGAGCGTGGCATGGTTGTTGGTGCCAGACGGGCCGGTCTGAGTATTTCACAATCTGCTCAGTTACTGGGATTTTCACGCACAACCATTTCTAGTGTTTACAAAGAATGGTGTGAAAAGGGAAAAACATCCAGTATGCGGCAGTCCTGTGGCCGAAAATGCCTTGTTAATGCCAGAGGTCAGAGGAGAATGGGCCGACTGATTCAAGCTGATAGAAGAGCAACTTTGACTGAAATAACCACTCGTTACAACCGAGGTATGCAGCAAAGCATTTGTGAAGCCACAACACGCACAACCTTGAGGCGGATGGGCTACAACAGCAGAAGACCCCACCGGGTACCACTCATCTCCACTACAAATAGGAAAAAGAGGCTACAATTTGCAAGAGCTCACCAAAATTGGACAGTTGAAGACTGGAAAAATGTTGCCTGGTCTGATGAGTCTCGATTTCTGTTGAGACATTCAGATGGTAGAGTCAGAATTTGGCGTAAACAGAATGAGAACATGGATCCATCATGCCTTGTTACCACTGTGCAGACTGGTGGTGGTGGTGTTATGGTGTGGGGGATGTTTTCTTGGCACACTTTAGGCCCCTTAGGGCCAATTGGGCATCGTTTAAATGCCATGGCCTACCTGAGCATTGTTTCTGACCATGTCCATCCCTTTATGACCACCATGTACCCATCCTCTGATGGCTACTTCCAGCAGGATAATGCACCATGTCACAAAGCTCGAATCATTTCAAATTGGTTTCTTGAACATGACAATGAGTTCACTGTACTAAAATGGCCTCCACAGTCACCAGATCTTCATGCCCTGGATGTGCATCCCACAAATCTCCATCAACTACAAGATGCTATCCTATCAATATGGGGCAACATTTCTAAAGAATGCTTTCAGCACCTTGTTGAATCAATGCCACGTAGAATTAAGGCAGTTCTGAAGGCGAAAGGGGGTCAAACACAGTATTAGTATGGTGTTCCTAATAATCCTTTAGGTGAGTGTATATATATATATATATATATAAATAAATGAACTAAATTAATAACTTTTTTAAAACAAAAATGAAACATTACTGAACTTACTTCATCACTGAACATTATTTTCCTGTTATATCTGTAAAGCTGCTTTGAATCAATATGTATTGTAAAAAGCGCTATATAAATAAATGTGACTTGACATACACACAGAGAGAGAGAGAGAGAGACACCTCAGGCTTCACAGAGATGCTTATCTGACAGACAGGCATTTTGCATTCATCTGCTATGACTCACTGCCTTCCTGCCAGGACACAGATCAAAACTAAACCAGCACAGAGGATTACAAACTTCCAAAGCTAACCTTGTGTGAATCATCACAGAGGGACTGTATACAAATGAAAGGGATAGTTCAGCCAAAAATTATCATTTACATACCCTCAGGTCATTCCAAACCTGTATGCATTTATTTCTTCCATGGAACACAATAGAAGATATTTTGAATATTCATTGTATGGACAAAAAACAACAACAACAAAAAAAATGATGAATGTCTTTCTTTTTTTATGTCGCACAAAAGAAAACAAAGGTTTAGAACGGCATGAAGGGGAGTAAATGATAATATAATTTTCATTTTTGGCTGAACTAACCCTTTAACTTGAACTAGCTAACAAAATATTATTACCTGGCGGAAACTTTCCTCCTCTCACTGATATTGTAGGTAGTGTCATCTGCTTGGTTCTTTGGGGTGGCAGAGATGTCTGTCTTCTCCAGCCCCTGGTGGCCAAAGGGGAAAAAAATTACAGTATACATACAAGAACAACAGGAATAAAGGAACTTCAAATCTGAAAGAAAGGAACCATGGGTACTTTCCACATCAAACTAATCCTCCAGGGATGGTCCAATCAGAATCTCACAATTAGCCATTCAGAGCCACGCGTTTTTTTTTTTTTTACAAAGCCTAGGCAGAGCCAGGGGGGCTGCAGGGACCTACAGGCGCGCACACACACACAGGCTGTGAAAAGCTGTTGTCTTAAGATTGAATGAGGCCTGTGGGAGAAAGGGGCTTGTGGGAGGACGTAGAGGTCAGAGTGGTTTTGACTGCTCTCAATTCACTAGATCTAAGGGGGGAGAGAAATGTGGAAACTTAAGCGATACTCATTTAATAAATATTAAAAGAAATGTTTTAAATTAAATATAAGTTAAGCTCAGTCAAAAGTACCTGTGGCATGCTGTCGATCAGCACAGAAAAGAATAGTGTCTTGTACCTTGTAACAAACATAAAATAGTGTTTACACTTACAACGAAAGTCTATAGGGCAGGATTTGCATTGAGAAAACCGTTAATGTAACCCTAACCAATTAGAATGTTTAGCCACACGATTTAAACATAAGCCCGCCAGAACCCGCCAAAATGGGCGGAGCTACCCCTCTATATAATGCAGGCATTCTGCCATAGGAACTCAGCTCAATTCGACTGCAAGTTATGCAGTACTCATTCCTGTTATCTCAGGGAACCAAGGTTACGTTAGTAACCGAGTACATTCACCATCGATTAATCATCCTTCAGCGACAAACATCTTCTCCTCGCTAGACTCCTGTGCAGTGGAAGTGGCTGCACATCAACTACCTGGAAATGCTGGCCATCTTTCTGGCCCTCAGAACCTTCCTGGCAGACCTGAGAGGGCACCATGTCTTAGTCCGCTCGGATAGCATGGCAGTGGTGTCCTACATAAGCCACCAAGGTGGACTCAGATCGAAACCTCTGTACAAGCTTGCCAGGCACAAGCAGGGCACTGAGAGCGGCACACATGCCCGGCAATGCTCAATAATGACCCACAAATGGCCCAGCCTTCCCCAATACACCTTTCCCCCGGTTGAGCTGCTCCCTCAGGTCATCAGACAGATCAGGGAGGACAAACGCCCAGTCCTTCTGGCGAAACCAGTCATGGTTCCCAGAATTGACGCAGCTGCTCTCATAGCGTGGCCAATTCCCCCGAGGAAGGACATCCTTCCCCAAGCGGAAGGAATGATCTGGCACCCCCTACCAGAGTTATTAGCCCTTTACCTCTGGCCCCTCGACGGGAGCCTATGAACCTCTCCGCAAGGGTCCTAAACAGTATTTCTGAGGCTAGAGCCCTGTCCACTAGATCTCTATGCCCTTAAGTGGTCTGTTTTCTCTGGCTGTGCACAGCCCGGAGTGAAGATCCGACATCCTGTGACATTTCACTGGCACTGGTCCCCCTTCCACGCTCAAGGTCTATGTGGCACGACGCTAACACGACACCGTTCTAACAGAAAACACTCAACGCAACTCAATAAAGGGTTACGCACTGTATATAAATCTATTGTCTGTATTGTAATATATTGTGTATATTTTTTTTCCTTTATTAAAAATAAAGTTGTCCTCCGAAGAGGGGGGGTGGTGGTGGGCCAAAAAAAGAAAAAAAAAGAAAACACTCAACGCGCTCTGGCCCATAGGCAGGAACAACCTGGTTGTTTGCTTTCTGAAGGGGTCCAAAAGGCTAAACCCACCTCGCCCCTCAAAGGTTCCTACATAGGACCTGTCCACGGTCCTCAGGGCATGCAAACTACAGTCTATGCAAACAGTCACTACAGTCCCTTTCGCTAAAGAACGCCCTACTGCTAGCCATAGCATCGGTCAAACGAGTGGGCGACTTGCAAATGCTCTCTGTAAGTGCTTCTTGCCTTGAGTTTGGGCCTCACGACTGTAAAGTCATCCTCAAACCAAGACATGGCCATGGCTACCCAAGGTGCTCTCTACTCCGTTCAGAGCACAGTTCATTACTCTCTCTGCTCTTCCCCCCTCTGAGGGCGAGCAGTAGTCACATTTACTCTGCCCTGTTCGGGCCATAAGAGTATATATTGAGCGCTCTTCCCAGTTCAGGCAGTCGGAACAGCTCTTTATGTGCTTTGGAGGCCACACCAAGGGCATCCGGTCATGAAGCAAAGACTTTCCCACTGGATAGTGGATGCAATTGCGATAGCTTATGCCTCGATGGGCCTACAGTGCCCCATCTGAGTAAAAGCACACTCCACCAGAGGCGTGGCCTGGGCATGGTCCAGCGGAGTGTCCATTGGCGACATCTGTGTGCGGCTGGCGGGTTTTCGCCATCCACCTTTGCCAGATTTTACAACTTGGACATCCCTGCTCTACAAGCACAGGTCCTATCTATTTCTTACCTATATGAGCTCAACCCACTAGAACCATTCCTTATGGCTTGAGTCTCTTAGGGTCAGATGGTTACCTCACCCTAATTTATCCTTGGCGCCCTCTGGGCCCTTGTTCAAGCGTCCTGGGCCAAGACCTTAGAACGATTTCCGCATTTGAACGGTATCAATGGTGAATGTACTCGATTACTAATGTAACCTTGGTTCCCTGAGATAACAGGAATGAGTAATGCATAACTTGCAGTCGAATTGACCTGAGTTATGGCAGAATGCCCGCATTATATAGAGGGGTAGCCCCGCCCATTTTGACGAGCTCTGGCAGGCTTTCGCGCCATAGATTTGTGCAGCTACGCTGCTCAGCCATTGGTTGGGGGAACTCCACACCTCAACCATTGGCTCATGCAGTTTCACTGCGTTATTCTATAAGGTTCAGTAAATAGGAGAAACATATTTTTTTTCAAATGCGTCTAGCGACGCAGTACTCGTTCCTGTTATCTAAGGGGACAGAGGTTACGTTAGTAACCAAGTACGTTTTCACTGATGAAAATGAGATGCTAAGTCGATAAGTTTTTGATGACAAAACCTGTAACAAAAATCTATTGACCTTTTCGTCATGAACGAGACGAAGATGTTAGAGAGGGATGATTTGGGAAGAGATTCAATCACAAATAATCTCTGTGTGGTAGGAAGATTAGATTCACACATTTGAATGGTAATGTATCTACCGGGCAGGTTAAGAGAATACAATTGCTGCATGTCTTATAAAATGTTTGAGGAAAACTGACATATCTGGATAAATTTCACATTTGATGTCAAGGAAAACAAGACCATTTGTAAACTGTGTGGAGTGACAATATCCGGGTAACAAAGAATTTTACATTGGCTCGACAATGAACCGGGATAAATTTGATCATGCATTTGCATTTGGTCTGCCAATTTAAACAATAAAGCAACTATTTAAGCACAAGACACGAAAGAGAACTCAATTTGAGACTGTTCAGCCACCTCTCTAACTGAATTTAGAGTGCTGAATTTAATTATCTTTCGCATCTTATCACGCTTGAAAGGACACATACACAAAACTGTCATTTAAACAGTCGGTTATGTCTAAAGTGAAAGTAAAACAATTGGCAGAAAATCAGATATGTATCATTGGATTTGTGCATTAAAGGAGAAAAATTGGGTTTGTTCACCCAAAAATAAAAAGGGAGCAATTTCAGAAACGGCAACGGAGGCGATTCAAGGGGTAATGTTAAATAAATAGCCATTAAATCATTTAATATTAGCCTATGCTCGTCTTGTAAGTTTACGATAAAAAATTGATATGTGAAAAAAACTATTGTTTTTAAATGTCTTATTATCATTAAAATATGAAAAATTAAAATGACAGGTAAAAAGATCATGACAGAATTTTTTCGACCCTGTCCGTCAAAATCATGGACAATGTGAAAGTCTAACTCTAGCTCTGTATTAGACCTACTTGGCAAACTTAAAACACTATTTCATTTGTATCTCTGTTCTATTTTATTTATTTAGTGACCGGTATATTTTAGTTGACTAAAACTATTCTTTTGATATTTAATCGACAAAAACTAGACTAAAACTAAAACAATTCAGATGACTAAAATTGAATGGCATTTTAGTCAAAAGAAAAGTAAATAATGTTTTCTTACATGTTTTAAATGCCACTGTTTTTTTCTATTTCAATGTCTACTCGTCAGTGGTGTTGTTGATGACGAGAAAGGTTTTTTTTTTTTTTCGTTTTTTTTACTTTATGGATATGCGTAGTGAGCATTTGCAACACATTTCTGTATCTGGTGTATTTTCTATGTGCATGTGTTTTCTTCATGTGTTTCTTTATTTTCGATGTATGTTTTCCATTCATGTGTGAACCCGAATGTGTGAACTATGTTCATAAAAGTTTTGCTTGTTTTTACAAATATAGGGGCAAGTCAGTTTTTATTGTCTGTGGTTATCGACAGCATGCCACAGATACTGTCATCTGAGCTTGAACCCGGAACATTCCTTTAACTTCAGAATTCCCTTTCACGCAAGTAAGAAAAATCTAAATCATTCTCTTTTTCAAACAAGATTGTAACTTAATTAGATAATACTTATACAATTCTTGAGGCTAAATGAGCATCTGAAGGGCTGTGAATAAACTTTTTTAGTCAATTTTTGACATTGAAGATATAGCGAGACTTGTGTGCATGCAGACCCAATATGTTCTGGCCTTCTGGGTACAAAAACTATGGTGTTTTCATTCAACTGTCCTTGAGGACACCTGGACGTCTTCAACTCCAGCTTGCAGACTTTCTTATAACACAAAACAGCTGCATTACTGCACTCCATTTGGGACAACTTCAGAGCTCAGCTGACAACAATCCATTTAATTTAGTGTAAGTCCTCCAAGATCATTTCCTGCCATGCCACGACCAGATGCTGACATAATAATCATAGTCAGAAGCTTACAACATAATAATACCAACATAAAAGGAAAGACATGAATTTGTCTTAGGGGAGTAGTTGAGTCTCATTAAACTGAATTAAAATTTCTATTAAATAAATAATTAAATAAAAGTTTTT